CCAGGCAACTTTTGATAACAACATCATTTATCCTGTTTTCTAAATAAAACTCTAACACCAGGAAGAAGAAAAAGGGAGAAAAAGAAAAGGGACGTTTAAATTAAAACAAAAATCTATCTGTACAAGCCTTTACTCTGAGTCAGTAAGGTTTGAGCTCTATAGAAGCCAGAGCTTGGTAAAAGATGATTTACTTGCCTTTTGTGGCACCCCAACTTGCTTTGAGGGAAGTACCTCAAGAGACAACAGAAGAAACTCACTTGAGATCAGGGGAATTACAAAGATTTCCTAGGATGTATAAGGTCAACTGATTGCCCATAGAGATGTCAACAGTTGCTCTAAGTGCAATTACACCTTTAAACACCCCAAGATGGTAACTAGAGTACAGAAAACCCTATCACCCAATGAATCACTTCTCTAAAAAATGGGAATGAGGAGAAGGAACAGGGAACATAGGGAAGACTGCTTCAATGGGACCCACTAGGGAGAGTGCAGGTTCAGTGGTAGTTACAGTAGCACTTTCCTTGTCTTCAACCTGGGCTATACATCGCCTGGGAGTCTATAGGCAGCTCACTGCCTAACAATGAGGTTCCACAGGTTTGGAAGGGTGAATATGTGATAATGGCACCAGCAACGAGAGTGAAATCTGAATTATGCATGGCAGTCTACAGATGACTAATTATTGCACTATCACTCTCACCTGCCTACCTACTGGAGCTTACCCAGACAAACAGCCTGTGGCACATACCACTTCTATCAACTTGGGAATGGGGAAGAAAGGAATTACAAATGAAAACTTCTTGAAATGACCACTTCTTGTTCCAGCTTGAGCTAAATCAAATGTGTCTGAATAAATCATCTGCATTAAATAACATTTAAATATGGTAACTTCCGCACATTATGAACATGAAAGGTCCCCTCCCCTCACCCCATTTACTTCAGTGCACCTTGTCTCCCAGACAAATTTTTCCATCATTTAGCCAGTGGAATGGAAGGCATGCACCAAATTTTACACAAGGCGTTTACTTCTCTGAGAAGGCTGAGAGCCAGGAGAATTAATCTCCGTCTGCTAGGACCTCTGCCCCAAGCTTCTGGGAAAATAGTGAATTGGGTTTGACAAAAGAAGTAACTACGTGACCCACTAATCAGATTCAAAACAGGAAAATGTCCTGTAGATTGTATCCCTTCCTGTTCTTCTCCATAGTGGAAAGACCTAAAGATAATGAATGGAAAAAGCTGCCCCTTCAAACTCAAAGCAGGCTAAAAAAAAAAAAGACAAAGTCTAAGCAAAAAATAAAGAAATAAAAGGAAAAAAATAAGTCAAATCCCCAGCCCCAATACTCCTGAAAATAAAACAGGCCTATGCTGACTAATGTCTGGAAGAAGTCGAGGCAGAAAAGAAAGGATGAAAGTGGCCAGCCACTAAAGTGCCTTGAGAATCCATGACAGTGTTCTCCATTTCCAAGGCCAGGTAGCTATTCCCAGTAAGTTAAAAATTTTCTATTAAAAAGAAAAGAAAACAAAACAAAAACAAAAACCACTCTGGAAGGGTCATGGGAAAAAGAACACTGTAGAAAGTCAAGCTGCTGACCGCCGGCGGATAACGAAGAGCCCACGCTGAAGCTGGCCTAAGTAGATCCTCATCTTTGTGCTGTCGCTTGTCTTCCTCACCCAGATCTGCAGGAGAGAGCAAAGGGAGCAAGATGTAACAGGGTGAGAAATACGGAAGAGCAAATCTCCCAGAGCACCCAGATGGGAGCCTGAGTTCCATACGGGCAGAAAACTGGCTACCTCTTGCTTAAATGAACCATCTCAACCTCCAAAGACTTCACAAAAATCTCTCCGACCTTTGGCCATCCTAAAAGCAAGCCTCTGGTGGAGTTCAAGCATTAGCCCTGAACTCGTTTCTCCCAGCCATCTCTCTCACACCTTTGAGAGAGAGAAAGTGGAAAGCACGGTGATCTTAGGTTCCATTGTTGCTTTGATCTTTGAGATTCTTAAATTTGGTTTGATTATAGCATTATCGACACTCTAGAAACACAGACATGAACATAAACTTTCAATTAAATTTGGAAATATTTTCCTTGCCCCAGGGGACTTCCATTTTATGTAGCTTTTCAATCCTCTGATTTCCTGGCAGCAAAGAGTAATAGTTGTGACAGAAAAAGAAGAGAAAAATACCAACAATAGAAAAGATGCCCGGAGTGAGGTGGGGACCAACCACAATTGTAAGAAGGCTGGAGAGCTCACGACAGCCTTCCCTCCCCATACCCCTCTCCAACAGATGGCATCAGATTTCTCACCTGTGGACTGCCAGGGCTGACAAGTGCACTCGGTAAGTGTCAACCTGCAGCCGGGGACAGGAAGGAGAGTTGCTGCCAGTCAGCTGACTCCCCCAAGCCAGGGTTCCCGAGCTCTTACTGTGTGCCAGACATTGCACTGATCAAAATGAGCCTTTCCACCCTCAAAACAACCCTGTGAAGTAAGTACTGTCACTGGCCCCATTCCATAGAAGAGGAAACCAAAGCTCAGCAAGGCTGAATCACTTGTCCTGATGTCAATTCTGGAGCCTGACATCAAAGCCCCTCGCTCTCCTCTATTAAACCAGTGCCTGACTCTTCTCTGTCTTTTTGTAACATGCAATTAAACGAAGCCCAAAGTGGTTTTGTTAAAGGCCTACCATTTCACCCGCATAGACAAGTTTATAGGCATAGCTCCTCCTTCCTCAACTCCATTTTCAGATTTTAAAAAAGCTTATTCTCAGTTTCATCTCAATTTCTTTCATGTGATTATTTAGCAATAGAGACTTTAAATCAAACGTACTGGTTTAAAAATAAAAAAAAGTTAAAGATCTCACATAAAGCTAACTTCTAAAGGACCTTGCAGAACCTTTTTGAAAACTGACCTCACAGAGGGCTAAATCCGGGTGGCACCAACATGTTCAGATCCACCCACCATCAAACCTGCTCAAGGCTTGTTTATGCTAAAGCCCAGTAGACCCAATGCCATCTAGGATCTGATGTGAAAAACAAGCAGAACACTTCCAAGAAATGAGAAGTGTTTCCTTGTTACCAAAGTTGCATGCCTCCAACGCACTGAGGCGCCTCCTCTACAGGAGACATCTCTCAGTGTCATCACTGGTTTGGCAGATCTCACTGACACTCCATTATGTCAAAAATTAATAATACTCAACAGAGAAAAGAACTTACATTTCTACTTTACTGATAATCTTCAGGGTGTCACAGAGGAGAATAATGCACTGGTTCTGAAGTTAGGTTTAGGTACTAGAGGGCCACATGCGCTCTGTGCAGTATCCCGCACAGCCAGGTGGAAATGCTCTATCAGGACATCACGACACCTCTTGGCTAAGGAACAGGAGGTCTATTAGATCCCCTGTTCTGGTTTTGACTTGGTTCAAAGTGACTCACAGAACCTCAGCCCAAAGAATGACATTCATTTACCCAGATGGTACTCCTTAACTTTTTAAGTAAACAATCATTTTGCAAACTAGTCACATTATTGGGGCCTTTCTAATTCAGGAAGCTGAGAGAACAGAAGAGGCTTAAGTTATTTCGTAATCCAGTTTCATTAGATTTACTGTGCACTGGCACAAATAAGTTACAGAGGATAGACAGGTAAAAATCAATTTCTTTTTTGTGGATGATAAAAGATCAAGCCAATCCAGCTACTATTAAAGTTTTAAACTTTAACTACCAACAAGATGAGTTACACATTGTGGACATTCTCCTAATGAGGGGCCACTTGGAGATTTCACAAGGCCTCAGGTGCAACCCTCTGAGCTGAACCCATCCTGCAGAAGTGAAGCCAGGAAATTAATACCCAAGGCCATGAACCTGGCAGTACACTGTTCAGAGGTACAATGGGACACATCAGACAGGAAAGATAGCAGACTAGGAGCAGCATGTGGGCTGCAGTAGGCCAACCCCATTTAGTGAGCACTTAATGGATGCTAGATCCTATGCCAAGTGCCTCATTAAATCCTCGAAGCAAGAAACACATCTATTGGTATGTGTGAAAGTTCTAGAAAAATAAAACCAGGAGAGAGTATGCACCACAGGCAAGCTCCACACTCAGAAGATGATTACCTTAAAAAGAAGCAGGATTTGAAGGTATAGATGTAGTATAGACTTGCCTTTTGTTCTTTCCTATAGTGTAGTTCAGTGGTTCCCTAATCGATTACTGTATAGGGCATTCACAAATACCACAAGCTATTTACAATCTGCATGTATTATAGTCAAGCACATGTAAGGGATATTCAAGGGCAATTTTGACTATGGGCAATTTCTGCCTAAAAGTGCTGACTTTAGAATCTAACCCACATGTAAGATATGATTCCACTGTACTTTCTTTGTAGCACTTTCATTTCAGGTGTGTCATATTTTCAACACTTCAAAGAGCACACTTTGCCTTCCTAAGGGTGAGGGAGTGCAGTTCCTACCTCGTTGGCTCCAACAGAGCTAATCACACAGCTCAGTTTCTGGTTGTCCTTTGACTCCAGATAGATGGCTTGACTCTTGTGGTACCTGCCAAAAACAAGGCACATATCTAAAAAAAAGTAGCAGGGAGGAAAGAAATTTAAAAAAAAGAACACCACAACAAAAACTACAATTTAAAAAGTCTTAATAATTTATATTTGGGGAAGAGCCTCGATTTCAGAGGGTTTAATTTCAAGGCTCCTATCACTGGATCGGATTAGATGAACTCCTAATCTTCCTCTGGATCTAAGGCTTATATTCCTTAGTCCTTCTGCAAAGGGGAAAAGGGTGGGATGCTGAGGAAAGGGTTAGAAAAGCCATACATTTTTCCTTTTTATATGGACTATATGACCCAGTTCAAAAGTAAATTAAAAGTTTTAAAGTAAAACCTCTGTTTCCATTTTCTGGCCCCACCCCAAACCACTGAAAGTTGGATGGACAAAACAGGCTTGAACAACTGTTATTATTCATTTTGTTTGTCCAAGTATATCAACAACAAGAAGGTAGGCTAAATTCAGCCCTGACTTTATAAATCATGAAAAAATACTCAAGAGGCTCAGCAACCATAGCACAGTGGTTACAGCGCCAGCCACATACACCTAAGGTAGCAAGTTCAAACCCGGCCTGGGCCAGCTAAAACAACAATGACAACTGCAACAACAAAAAGACAACAGCCAGGCGTTGTGGCAGGCGTCTGTAGTCCCAGCTACTCAGGAGGCTGAGGCAAGAGAATCACTTGAGCCCAAAAGTTTGAGGCTGCTGTGAGCTGTGATGCCATAGCACCCCACTAAGGGTGGCATAGTGAGACTGTCTCAAAAAAAGAAAAAGAAAAAGAAAAAACAGCCGGTCATGGTGGCTCATGCCTCTAATCCCAGCACTGTGGGAGGCTGAGGAGGGAGAATCGCTGGAGCTCAGGAGTTCATGACTCACCTGAGCGAAAGTGAGACCCTGACTCATGAAAAAAATGGAAAAACCCAGCCAGGCACCACAGTAAGTGCCTGTAATCCCAGCGGCTTCGGAGGTTGAGGCAGTGGGATGCCCACAAGCCAGGAGTCTGAGGTTGCAGTGAGCTACCAAGCCACTGCACTCTGCTCAGGGGCACAGGGTGGGACTCTGTCTCGATAGAAAGAAAAAAGAAATAAAAAAAAAAAGCAACGAAATAAAATAAAATAAAAACAAAGTTTGAAAAATATAGAAAAAATACTCATGAAGCACTAACTGTATACCACTGATTATACTGGAGATCGAGGAAAGTGAACGAGGCCACAAGGTCTCTGCTACCACAAAGCTTCAAATACAGTAGGGACAAAGAACATTAAATGGTCACACCTGGTATGTGCTAATCAGACGAAGTTCCAAGCATCAAGATATACACCAAAGGGTATCTAATTTGGTCTGGACAGTGGAAAAGCTCCTGTGATCAGAGGAGGTAAGACAGACGCTTCCTTTTCACCTCCTGTGTCTATTCTCTTGGCCAGCAGTGCATGGTCACTGCTAACTTCTAGACATTCAGGGACAAGGCTAAGAATCAAAGTGAATGTGCAAGGGCCAAAGGCCACATGAGACAACAGCAGCTACCACAGGATGAAGGAGCAGCTGCTGGATTACAAAAGTTAGAAACATGAGCTGAGCTGCTACAAGCAGCCCCAGCTCAGAACATAACCTTTGGTTCATTTTGGCTACGGAGGTCTGCTAAACCGACACAGCTAACTAGACTCAAAAGCTCATGTAAATTCTACCAAAACACACTTCTCAGCAAAGCATTACATATTATTATTATTTCTCTAGGGAAAGAAGACAGACTCCGTTTTGTCTGATGAAATAACTACTGCCGAAACATCACAGTAAAGGATATACTTCAATCCCATAATGAGCTTTTTCCAATCTAGGCTCCAAAGTGCTCTTTAACCCTGTTACTTAGGAGCTGAAAACTCGGGTTTCCAAGTCAATTTATTTCTTGAAAATACTGTTAAAAGAAATTGAATTTTAAATGCAATTAGAATAGTAAGATTGGTTTAGACTCAAGTTTTAAAGCTACTTTTGGCCATGTGTTAGTTAGTAAACTGGGTCAGGGACCTTCATTATGCTAAACATGTAAAATCCCAGGTCCAAATTATAGGATGCACGAGAAGGCTAAATTAGTTCATGAAAACACTCTAACACTTCTCTTGGTCTCTCTCCCGCATCTAAGCCAACTGTCTCATGTAAACAGTAAAGTCCTGAGTAATGGCTGAAATGAAAATACAGCAGAAAAAGAACACTCAAGTTATTCTATAGGGATTCTGAATTATTAAAGAGATAAAAACACAACACAAAACACAACTAGCCTCAAGTCACACTGAACACTTTAATAAAGTAAGGTCATGGGTGGGGTGCAGAAGTTTATTACTAGCATAGAAACATGCTCGATATACTGGTAAGTGGAAGGAAAAACTATGTCCACAATATTCCTGTGTTTATAATAAAATATATACATGGTACCTGTGTATCAGACATACAAAAAAATGGGTAAATACATATTAAAATTTTATAAAAATGTAAATTAATAATGGTATTTGTTTATTGTATAGCTTCCTTTTTAAGAATGGATATTATGCTAAAAAACAAGTATTTTCATAAGTCATGAAAATACCTAGATGGTAAACATGAGGTAAAAAGAAAATTTAATGTCACCAAGGTCTGTTAAAGGAAGCCACTGACTGTGAAAGACTATTCAAATAACTTTTTTTTT